GGTGCGGTTCCTCGCCCTGGGTTATGATAACAGTAATTCAGATTTGAAGGGAGGGTGTATCACCACACAAATGGCGGAGCAGATGGAGGGTGCAGATAGGGGGAGCTGTTTGTGTTTGTTCGGCACGCTAGGGTTGTGTAATAGTTTTCAACCCAAACAGAAGGTAGATGATGTGCCCTGGTTTTGTGCCCAAAGCATGTAGCAAAAATCTGTGATGCTCATGTAGGGATGGAAGGGTTTAGAACACAAACAGATGAGACATAGACCAAAAGTTATGTAACTATGGTAAGACATGTAACCCAACAGACTGACTTTTCTGCAGGGTTTTTTTGAGGAATTTTCAGAGAAAATAATTTCATGTCTGAACCATGTCATTTTTGGGCTTCCTGAAAGGGATAGTTCACCAAAAAATGAAAATTCTGTCATTAATTACTCACCCTCATGTCGTTCCAAACCCGTAAGACCTTCGTTCATCTTCAGAACACAAATTAAGATATTTTTGATGAAATAAGAGGCCCAGAAAGGTAGTAAGGACATTGTTAAAATAGTCCATGTGACATCAGTGGTTCAACCTTAATGTTTTGATGCTATGCGAATACTTTTTGTCTGCAAAGTAAACAAAAATAACTTTATTCAACAAGTATTCTCACAAAATTATTCTCGTAGCTTTATAAAATTAAGGTTGAACCTCTGATGTCACATGGACTATTTTAACGTGTCCTAACTACCTTTTTCTACCTGGTCTCATGGCAAAAATGTACCTGGGGGCACTTTTTCGCGAGACACGAAATACGTACCAATAAGTACATATCACTGCAGTTTCCAAAAGAAATTAACACTAGAGGCAGTAAAACTCCGACGCCTTTTATTCCTTTTCACACAAATTTACAGTTTCGATTAATAAAGCATAATTTTCGCACAATTACTTGCAGAATATTATGTTATGACTTCAAAACAATTTTAATATGCTGGGAGATTTGAAAACTGGTGCTTTTGAATGTTAGCATCGCACATATCCAGCTTCATATCAATGGGTTTTCATCGACTGTGGGTTTGTTCGGTAGCTCACGGAGTACGGAGACGTAGGCTACTTGAGAGATGAGGAGCTCCGGTTCGAGTCCTGTGTAACTATGGTTCGACAAAACAGTTCAAATCTGCATATAAGGAAGGTCAAATGGCATGGTTGCATCAACAAATGCGTTTTTATATCAGTTTTGCATTTGTTAACACTATCGGACAGGTTTAGGGTTGGGTTTGGAATATTTCCAACATGATAGACAGAGCATTAAATTTTAGCGACAGTCTCCGGATATTTGAATTCTGAACCACAGCAATACGTACCTGAGGAAACGTTATAAAAACACAGCAATAGGTACCTGTATCAACGTAATAAAAACGTGCCACGGTTCACGTATTGAACCCGTGTTTTAGCGCCACTCAGTGGACATTTCTCTTTGAAACTGCGGCGAAACGTGCAGTAAGTTACGTAAAAATGGTGTTGCAGAAAAGTACCCAGAGGTAGCCTACGTATTTTTATGAGACCAGGTTGACCTTTCTAGGCCTTGAACGTATCTGTTGTGTTGCTGACCCTTTGAGACTGACTAGCTGGTCTGGTGTCATTCTAATGCCCTAACAACTATTCGGTTATGAAACTTTTGGTTTGCGCTGGTGCACATTATTTTTTAACCAGGACGAGATGAAATGCAGCAGAAATCAAGTGAGATTTGACCGGCTGTCTGCTCAGGCACTTGGTATGTGGTATTTAAAACTTGATCTCCTAGTTTAATGCTCCATAATCCATATTGTCCAAAGATTTGCAGCGCTCTTGGCACTCTTGTACATTCCTATGCATCATAAGTTGTTGCTTGAAAAATAAAATATAAAATTACTAAAAAAAAAAAAATTTGATCTCGATTCAATATCAATTCATGTGTATATACTGTAAATATAAGGGGATAAAAATATTTTGTTGAATGCCTTTTTAGCATCATTTTAAACTTTAAAATGATGTTTCAATTCAGTATTTGCTTGAATTCGTTGTGTGTAATTATGCAAGTATCATTAAAAAAAGAATACAAGTTAATAACTTTTTACATTTTTCATTTAAAAATCCAATGTTTAATCATGTCTAAATATTTATTCAAATGAAAAACTTAAAAATAAGTAAGCTAAGCAGGAATGGCCTGCAGTATTCTAGATATATTTAGTAAAGAGCCATACAGGTACCTAGTGGGTAAACCATGGCATTACAAATGAATTTTTTTTTTCTGACCACAAAATGACTCTAATTTGCCTCTTTGCATTGGAATTTAAAACCCTTTTCTCTATTTTAACCTTTAATGCACTAATTGTAATATAAGTAATATAAATATTAGAAAAAATATTTTAAGTCATTAATGGACCATAATTATTGCACAAATAGTAGGCCTATTTAGTACCAAAAGATCTCAAAATATTAAATAAATATTATTGAACTAAAATATACAACACTTATTTAACTGAAAAATAGTTGAACTGTATGGTCACATTATAAGTAAGCAATACCTGAGGGTTAAGAAAACCATATTAATGTTGCCTCTCCATCACGCTCCATAATAAAATGATACTGTAAATGTCATCGAAGTAATAATCAGTGCATAATATGCTGTAATGTTTACCAGAAACATTAACGCTGGTTTGTTTGGAGAGCTCTATGAACCACGTGACCGCGCGGAGGCGCCGGTGAGATCAAAGCTTGTCGCAACTCTGTTTTTCAATGGCTCTGGCTTAAACTGAAGCGCTACATTTTATGATTTACGCCACATTAAGTGCGCCAAAACTGTATTTATTGTTTGAATTTAGTATTAAAACTTACTAAATTTGAAAGCTGAGACTTTTTCATATCACATAAGTAGGGTTGCCAATTTGGCGTGAGATTTACATGGGCAGAGTGAGAGCGTGAAACCGAACCTGAAAGCGTGTGTCTCACGCCAAATGCGTGAGAGTTGGCAATCCTGGCTTAATGAAAGGTCTGGTATGGTTAAAAAAAAATCTGAGTGCATGGTCTAAAGCGCAAGGTGCAGGTGCACTTGGGGTGTCCGAATCCACTTTTGCTAGTTTAACGACGGGAAAAACAATTCAAGTTTATTTGTATAGTGCTTTTCACGATACAAATCGTTGCAAAGCAGCTTTACTGGAAATTAAGTTTCTACAATATATTTAGTAGTAGCTTGTCAGTGGTGACTGTCAAATTGATGTACATATGGCAGAAATGTACGGTAAAATTCAGTTAATGATGTAAAAACGGTCGGCGCGCCCAGCGTATGGTCTAAAAGGGTTGTCCCTATTCTCAAACAGTGAGGGAGAAGTCGTGGCCTAATGGTTAGAGAGTCGGACTTGTAACCCAAAAGTTGTGAGTTCGAGTCTCGTACCGGCAGGGATTGTAGGTGGGGGGAGTGAATGTACAGCGCTCTCTCCCACCTTCAATACCACGACTGAGGTGCCCTTGAGCAAGGCACCGAACCCCCAACTGCTCCCCGGCGCCGTAGCATAAATGGCTGCCCACTGCTCCGGGTGTGTGTGATCACTGCTGTGTGTGTGCACTTTGGATGGGTTAAATGCAGAGCACTAATTCCAAGTATGGGTCACTTGTCACGTCACTTTCACTTTCTTAATGAGTAATGAGTAAAGTTTTGGGCATAACGTGCAATAAACCAATTAGAGTCTCATCTCCACTCAAGTTGCGCTCGCGCCATGGCGGATTCGCTATTTACAAGGCGGAATTTGCGAGATGGTCCTCACTGCAGAACACAAGATCCAGGGGGCGTGGTCAATTTACAAAAGTATAAGGGAGTCATTTCCCTCCTCTCCAAAAATGAAAGCAATTACAAGATCCTTCCTTGTTTCCTAGGAGATGGAGCCAGGGATCTTTCCCGAATATGAGGGTGATTTTGTGGGGAGCTCTTTTACACTCATCTAGTCGATATGTCAAATAGGAACATAGACCTAGAACATAATATTCAGAACTGTATCTGTCTAGTGTGTGCACTTTGGATGGGTTAAATGCAGAGCACTAATTCCAAGTATGGGTCACTTGTCACGTCACTTTCACTTTCTTAATGAGTAAAGTTTTGGGCATAACGTGCAATAAACCAATTAGAGTCTCATCTCCAGTCAAGTTGCGCTCGCGCCATGGCGGATTCGCTATTTACAAGGCGGAATTTGCGAGATGGTCCTCACTGCAGAACACAAGATCCAGGGGGCGTGGTTGGATCCAGATCCAACTCCTTTCACATTACATATACCTAAACCTACCCGTCTCCACCCCCTGATCCCTAAACCCACCCATCTCCACCCCCTAGATGTGGATCCAACCACGACCTCTGGATCTTGTGTTCTGCAGTGAGGGGCTACTGGAATTTGCAAGCGCAAATAAAATGCGTCTCCAGAGAGGAAACGGAGCTGCTCGTTCGTGTTAATATTTTGCATGTTTGTGTGCTGCTGCACGTCCCTGTGTGTGTAATAAGCAGAGTATACGCGTGTTGTGGACCCGCCTATAGGCACATATTACTAACTAAATAAATGTGAGGGTAGTTTCATGTCGATGAGCAAAGAGCCATAATGACGGTGCCATGCGGAGCAGCTCATGGCCAGTTTCATTAGCCATAATGACACATTCCCTTGAGGAGAGGAAACAGCTAGTCAGTTGACTCACACACTTCAGTCACATTTAAACAGCATTTAAACGCTGGAACAGCGCTTGGCTGAACGGGAACAAATGGGTGTATAATAATAGATGACTTTATATAGAACAAATTAAAGGAATTGCATTTGGCTTAGAACAGTTTCAAGCAGCATAAAACCTGTGTGTGCTGAGTTTTGTGTTTTGTTTTGATTCTTTCCATTGAAGTTGTTGAGTTTGGGTTAAATACTTGTGGGCATTTGGGCTGTTTTGCATAGTCACACAGCATGCATTTATTATAAAGGTTGTGTCTAATCTTCAGACAAAGGTTTATGTAAGAATGGTGAGGTGAAACCAAATATGAAAGACTAAAGGATTTTAATTTTGAAAGACTAAGGATTTTTTTTCATGTTTTACCCATGTTCTGTCCATCTGTATTTGTCCTCAGGAGTCGGAACCCATCTGGCTCTCCTCGTCCACGCTCAATGAAGAAAGTCCACTTTATTAAGAACATGAGGCAGTACGACACCAGGGGCAGCAGGTGTGTTTATTCACTTCTCCATGGGTGTGTGGGTTTTGGGGTTGTTAATACCAGTGATAACAGCCCACGGTGTGTGTGTATGTGTGTTTGTGTCTGTCGTCTGTCTTTTCCCATGCTAGTTTTAGTTTTTAAAATGTAAAATTTATTTTTATTTTGTGCAATAAACGAGTTTGATGTGCTATGAAAAAGAAGAACAGCAGAAGTAAATACTATTATTCCAGTTTATATACAGTACAAAGGTTTTTGCCCCCTTCCTGTTTTTTAATTTTTTGCATATTTGTCAGACTTAAAAGATTCAGATCATCAAACAAATTTTAATATTACGCAAAGAAAATGCAAGTAAATACAAAATGCAAAAATTACTCCAAGAGCGCAACGACGACTTATCCAGGAGATCACAAAAGAACCCAGAACAACATCTAAAGAACTGCAGGCCTCACTTGCCTCAGTTAAGGTCAGTGTTCATGATTCAACAATAAGAAAGAGACTGGGCAAAAACGGCATCCATGGGAGAGTTCCAAGGCAAAAGCCACTGCATTGCTGACCAAAAAGAACACAAAGGCTCGTCTCACATTTGGCAAAAAATATCTACGTCATCCACCTGGACAGCTTCCGCGTACGACAGTCAGCGGAAGTGAGAAAAAACTGTTTATTACGTTTGAAATATGGATATTTATCTTACAAAAACGCATGGATTCACTACAGGAGGCCTATATTCACCCCCCGGAACCGTATGAGGGACGTTTTATTATAGATGTGCGCACTTTATTTCACGTTGTACCAGAATAAATCAATAACAGGAAGACAATAACGGGAAGAAAAAAGTATGGAGCAGGCTTGGAACAGCTCATGATCCAAAGCATACAACATCATCTGTGAAACATGGTGGAGCAGTGTGATGGCATGAGCATGCGTGGCTTCCAGTGGCACTGGATTACTGGTGTTTATTGATGACGTGACAGAAGACAGAAGCAGACGGATGAATTCTGAATGTACAGGGATATACTGTCTGCCCAGATTCAGTCAAATAGAGCAAAGTTGATTGGACCGCGCTTCATAGTACAAATGGACGATGACCCAAAACATACAGCAAAAGCAACCCTGGAGTTTTTGAAGGTAAAAAAAGTGGAATATTTAGCAATGGCCAAGTCAATCTCCTGATTTCAACCCGATTGAGCATGCATTTCACTTGCTG